CCAACTCGCACTATGTGTGGAACAATTCCGGTTTTGAGAAGATTGATGCGCAGAGGACGATCGTGTGATGGGTATTTAATCAAAATGTTTTCTTTTCATTCTATCTAGTTCTTTTCATAACAAAAGCAGGAAATCTAATCGCTAACGCTCGGAACTCCAATAAGAAAAGCTGAGAAAGGGGGCGGGAGGTATCAGGCTTTAAATAAACCGAAAGATATCACTTTGTTCAAATGGGCGCTTGTGATGGGCGGACTACTTTTCTTTTTAGGGGCAGGAACACTAGTGTTACCCCTCGAGAAGTCATGTCTGGGAAACGTCCATAAGCCCCGAACGTGATAGACTACTAAACAGAAGTTTACAAGTATTGGTTACCAGGTTAGGGGTTTGTGTTGCACAGATTGGTTCCCTCGGAAGATATTTTTGGGTAATCTTGAGAGTTTCATTTCAAGTATTGTATCTCAGTTCTTTCCTCTCTATCTCTGGATATTAACTGCTCAACACCCCCGGTTATTTTTGTATTGCCTCTCTTAAGTGGTCACGGAAATATTGCAAATAATACAGGGTCATGATCAACGCGATAAGTAGAGCTTAAAGTATCTACAATTTAGATACAGGAATGATTTCCAAATAATCGCGTCAGTAGCAGTTACAAAAACACGAAGGACTGGTTATTTAAACAAAGGTTAGCCATTGTTTAACAAAACCACGCTCTAAGTTATCTTCAATTTAGCCGGAACTTTTGTGTACGATCTCAAGAGAGCCGAAAGCTAATGGCGGAAGAACATCTATTTAATTACCAAAACAACACTCTAAAAGAGAATCGCTAAGGCTCACTGCTTGCGCAAAGCCACGGTTTGGATAAGACCTCGTTTAAATAACTGGCCCGAAGAGTCAGTTAAAGTAACGGTGCGATTGGCTTAGTTATTTTCTCATGAAAAAATGGACCAACATAATACAATTTCATAACTGATTTATATATTTTCTTTCCACTAGACGAAACCCTTGTAACAATAACAGCTGACCACTCACATGTTTTTACCGTCGGCGGGTATCCGAAGGGGAGAAACCCAATTTTTGGTACAGTACGTTTTCTAACTGAAGAATTAGCAGTGGATGTGGATAACAAGACACACGACCCTTGGTTATATGCTAATGACCCAGGAGGCTTAAATGGGCCCTTTTAACTGAACATTTGTTTTTGTGAACAGTATCAAGATGGCCGAAAGCTAATCTAGTAGAAGGACATTTATTTAATTCAATTAACCTTCTTATAGAGAATCACTGAGGCCCGCTGCTTGCGTAAAGTCGCTGTTTGGGTTATAACTCGTGTAAGTAACCTGCCCTACTGTTTTAATAGAAGGTTGGTGAC